TGGATAAAATCAGACCATGCATTGGAACTTTCTGGTTCAAGCTTTCTGATGCATTTCCAAACTGCACTATTACATTTAAGCCCACTCCCAAAAGCCAACTGCCAAAGTCTATCCCCTCTTTTCACCCTTCCCTTGGCTTCAAGATAACTAAGTGCATACCAAGTTGAAGCTGAAGATGTGTTCCCAAACTTGTACAATGTCATCCTAGAAGGTTCAATATCCCTCTCTCGCAACTTCAGCTTCTCTTTCATGGTCTCGATAACCGATTTCCCGCCCTACCAAGTTGAAGCTGAAGATGTGTTCCCAAACTTGTACAATGTCATCCTTGAAGGCTCAATATCCCTCTCTCTCAACTTCAGCTTCTCCTTCATGGTCTCGATAACTGATTTCCCGCCTGAATGAATGCAGAAATGGTCAAAAGCCTTCTTGAAATCTGGCACATAAGGCCCTCTTTTCCTTGCAGGAGGCCAAATTCTCTTCCACACCACTGATAGAACATACCTGATTTGCTCTGAGTAGGGAAGTACTAACATAGCTAGTTTTGCCGCATTAACTTTCAACGCTTCCCCGGCTAATTGCTGGAGTGATTTTGACAAGTTTACCCCAGTGATTCCCTCATTGTCTGGCTCTTGACTAATACATCTGTAGTAAATGTCCTCAGCCCCAATGTGGGTTCTCACTAGGTGTTTGAGCACATATTTTGCCACCCTTTTGTCCCTATATCGATTTGAGAGCAAAACCGCTGCGCCACCCATCCGAAACAAGCAGTTAGGGAGCAACATGGACTTGACCTTCCCACCGTAAATATTTGAACATACTGATTCCATGCTGAGGATCAAGGCCAGGGAGTTTCTGTGGATTTTGAGAAGGTCTTTAGCCAAAGAGACGGATAACAAACTAGCACTGCACCCCATGCCGGAGAGGTTGAAGCTGAGGATATTGCTTCTTAAGCCAAACTTGTTGATGATCATGGAAGCCAAAGAGGGAGTTGGGCAAACAACACTGCAGTTTGTGATGAGGATGTCAATGCTTTTCGGGTCGATTTTGCGCTCGGTGAAGAGGCTTTGGACAACTGAGAAGAGCACCATTTGGACTTCTTCTAGTGTTGAATTCAGTGACTGGTCGTTTGGCAATAGGTGGATACCTGTTGGGAAGTAGCTTTCACTTCCTATGCCTGATCTTTCCAAGACTTTGGCCTGGAATTCGACGTTCTCAGGGCTGAATTTCTCCCATCTTTCTATGTGTTCTTGGAAGGAAGATGTTGGAACTCGGTTGGTATCGGGTGGCCTATAACACACGAAGTCGATGCGGTAAACGTGTTTTGATTTGTAGAATAGGTACAATATTGCAGTGGCAATGATCAAAGTGGCTGCAAGGATCTTGAAATGGGTAAAGAGAATTAGGAGCTTGGAGAGGCTAAGTTGTTCTAAAACGGAAAGATCAATGTCAAGAATTGACATTTTAGGTGGCTCTTCTGTTAGTTTATTGTAATGAATAACTTTACATAAGCATGGTTAATATGGTGATTAGGCTATGTAAAGACGAGAAGGGTGTGACTTTGTTTAGGCAAAACCAACGGATGGTTAGTAGGCTCATGCCAAGAAAGTGTACGGGAACATGTACATTTGGTTGTAAACTTTTTCTTTTGTTATTTCTTTCTTGAAAAAGAGCAATTCATTAGCTTGTAAGTTTGTAACAAACTAATTTAATGGGGGGAAAAAAAAAGGTTCAGATAATTTCTCAGAAAAAATAGGACATGAAACGGTACAATTTGTATTTTTCAAAGGTGACTTCATATATAATTACCTAATCAATTCATGCAAGTAAAGTTGAATTGTTAACTGTGCGTGTTAAACCTACATTTTTAAAGTCTTACCAAGGCAATGTGGTACGTTGGTTCACTTATGGGCAGAGGATTTGAACATTGTATCTTATAATGAAAGCAGGTTTACTTGACACTAAACTACACCTGCAACCACCTTTTTTTTTTGAAAAGTATATTAATTTATCTTTTGATTTGTTAAATTAGATAAATAAATTGAGCCAACGGTTAAGCTTCAAAACTGCCTGTTGAGGAACTAACAAAATTTGGCCTGTTGATTATGAATTATGTGTGCTTGAAGAAGTAAAGTAACATTGTTTTGACTTCACACATCAAACTAACTGAATCACAAGTCATAAAGCAAGCCAGCAAGATTTCATCACTAGAGAATAAAAAGCCTGGAAGAAATTCACGCTCAAACATTCTGAAGTATTTTCATCCAACAACAGCAATATTTCAAAATCTCTAATTTAATAAACAAAATTGTGAAGTAGACTAGTTTCAATAAAAAGCACCGTCACATTGGCAAAACTAAAGGAACTTCCAACTAGACAACAAGAAAATCAAGTGCTTTGACAAATAAAACATTGCAGAGTTTTTAATCTTCCTCCTCGCCCTCGTTCTCTGCAATGTTGAAGTACCTCAGTTCATAAACATTTCGGTCCTTGTTGGACGCAATCACTCGGAGCCAATCACGTACATTGTGCTTCTTCAAATACTTCTTTGTCAAGTACTTCAAATACCTGAATAACAAAGCGAAGAAAACAGGTAAGAAACCGCAGAATTAAAGATTAGAAATGAACTTAACCAACAACAGATTGTAGGTCAGTACCAACGTGCATATAAAATAATATATAAGAAACCGCAGAATTAAAGATTAGAAATGAACTTAACCAACAACAGATTTTAGGTCAGTACCAACATGCATAAAATAATATAAACTGGGAAATGTCACATGACGTTAAATACATAGAAGACCAGCACACTCCCATACAACCTCAATATGGTAAAAGCTACAAAAAGAACATACCAATATGAGGCCATTTGCATACCAATATACCACAAAACTAAAGGGTGTTGTACTTATACGACAAGATTGCCCTGGCCATTATCTTGGAAAGTAACTTCATGTGCAAAAGTAAAAGAACATACAAATATGAGGCCATTTGCATACCAATATACCACAAAACTAAAGGGTGTTGTACTTATATGACAAGATTGCCCTAGCCATTATCTTGGACAGTAACTTCAGGTGCAAAAGTCTTCGGCCGAGAAAGATCGTGTCAAGCAATCAGAGTTTAAATTTATGAACTTTTAACACAAAAGTAAATCTCATTCAACAGTCTTGCATTTCAATTGACAGCTCTAATTTCTAACCCAAGAGAATAAAGTACACAGTACCAAAAAAAAACAAAAAGATTCAATAAGAGCAACATGTCAATAGCTGTTCTAGGCAAACTAGGATGTCAATAAATGAATCTCCACAAACTCTACAAGCTTAACACAACGAGATCAATACTATTCCGGTACTCCCACAAACAAATCACAAATTATAACAAAAAATCACCTCTTGGAGAAGGTACTTTCAGAAGTAACAGTAATCTTGCTCTTCTCGCGGGTAACAGTGACCGTGTCGCCAAGAGCACCGGCCTTGCCTCCAACCTTAATCCTCTCCTGAAGAAACTTCTCGAGGGACGCAATATCCATGATCTTGTCCTCCACCGGCTTCCCGCAATCAATGGTGAATGTTGCTCCCTTCTTCTTCCCCTTGGGAGCCGCTGCACTTCCTCGACTCATCTTCGGTTTGTTCTTAACAACCCAAACAAAGTAAATATCCCATTTAGAATCACCAAAAACTAACTAAACCAGCCAAATTCCATAATGTCCCTAGCTAAATCATATTCTGGATAAAGCAACGATTTCATGGAAAGAATTTTAATAGCAGAACCACATATTGGAATATCCATTTCCATTTTCAAGAGTATTATAACAAACATTTATTTATTTATTTTATTGGAATTATCCTGCTGAGAAAATACAGGGAAAAAAAAAAAGGAAAACCAAAGAATGTGAATCCTAATTAAATTTGATTGAAGCAGAACTCATTGATTCACCTTATCAAAAATAATAACATAATATTAACAAAATACAAAAAAGATCCTACATCTTTATCTTTATCTTTCTCTACTTGTTCTTCACCTCGCTTTCTCATAAACCAAGGAGAAATAGAGAGAACCGATATGAAAATCCAAGCTTTTATTTGAACAGAAAAATGCAAATTGACAAATAAAGCTCGGTTCTTTTCTCTTTCGCAGTTTCACGGCAACCAAACAGAATAAGAAGTAGATAGTAAAAACTTACAATTGTAGAAGACGAGAGAGATAAACAGAAAGAAATAAAGAAAGAAAGAGAGAAATTTACCGGTGGACGGGCACAGAGGAAATCGGGTGAAACAGAGAGGTGGGAGCTGCGCGGCGTCTGAGAAGAAATACCAGTTAGGGTTTTGGTTTTTATAAGGGCTTCAATTTTTTATATTTTCCTCTACTGGACCCTAACTTTGGTCTATTATCTTTTCACGGATTCCACGGGTCCTGTTTTATTTTTCTTTTCTATCGCTCTTAATTCACTTTGATAAATAATAAATTCCACCCAAGCTTATGCCACTTTTTCACTTTGCCCCACAAGTTTGAAAAATTATCTTCCACTTCCCTTAAACTTCAAATTTGTTAGCAAATTTGCCCCCTTAGCGACTTAGGTCTTGTTCATTTCACATTCAAATTTCAGTTTTACTACAGTTAAAAGTTCTCATAAAAAGTCACATCTAACTTTTTTACTACAGTTAAAAGTTCTTAAATAAAGTTACATCTCAACTTGAATTGAAAATTTAAATCGGCGAACTGAATGATGTCTTAGATGAAGGGAAAATCTAGCATGCATTTTGCTAATTTTGAAAGTAAAGGCCGTGTTTGGAGTTGGTTTTGTTTTTGTTTTTCTCATTTTTTGAGAAAAAAAAAATAAAAACGAAAGAGAAACGGCGTTTGGTACAATTAAAGATAAAAAATAGAAATAAAAACGATTTTTAGTTTAGTGTTCCCTCGCGACCCGACTTTAAATTTTCTTTTAGGAGTAACCATTGTTTATATGTCATGCATTATTATTTGTTTAGGTTTAGGTTTCATAGCTATTGTCAGGGATCACGTTGACCTCTATCGTTTTTGCTACGCCATACATCTTCCCTTGCAAAGTTGCTCCGTCTCAAGGAGAGGATTTTGTGGTTACATCATTATCTAGGTTGCGATGGGAGACTACCAGTAACCCAGTGAGTCACCGTCAATGACACGCACAGACTAGAGACTACCACCCACACCTGACTACTGAATGTAACTTTGCCATGATGTATTGTTTTTGTGGCTAGAACGTGATAAAATTAGGACTGACAATTTGGGTAGCGATATGATGACACGATTCGAAACTCGTACGAAATTAGCGGGTTTAAGTTTATTATAAATGGATTTAGGTCATAATCAGATTGACACGATTAATATGATTAATAAATTGCTTGGGTAAGGGTTGACCTCATAACACGAAGTGACACGATTAACTATATGTGTCATCTCTAATCTAATAACATGTGATAAACATGAAAGTTTATATGACATATTAAATACAAATAATGTGAATTTTAATATTTGTAGGTAAAATTCATATATTTTTCTTAAAGGAAAAGATAAATTGACCAATAAACATGTTAAACATGTCATGACCATGTTAAATAAGTCATCATTATATTAGTTATTTATTCAATATATTAATTTAAACGGGTTGACACGATTGACACGTTTAATAAATGAGTCGTGTTTGAGTTGATATTTTTGACACGTTTAATAAACAGGTCGTGTTTGGGTTGATATTTTTAACACATTTAATAAATAGATCGTGTTTAGATTAATATATTCTGACACGATTAATAAATAGATTGACAAGAACACGATCCACTAACACAAACTGTCACCCCATTAAATACAAATAATGTGAATTTTAATATTTGTAGGTAAAATTCATATATTTTTCTTAAAGGAAAAGATAAATTGACCAATAAACATGTTAAACATGTCATGACCATGGTAAATAAGTCATCATTATATTAGTTATTTATTCAATATATTAATTTAAACGGGTTGACACGATTGACACGTTTAATAAATTAGTCGTGTTTGAGTTGATATTTTTGACACGTTTAATAAACAGGTCGTGTTTGGATTGATATTTTTAACACATTTAATAAATAGATCATGTTTAGATTAATATATTCTGACACGATTAATAAATAGATTGACAAGAACACAGTCCACTAACACAAACTGTCACCCCTAAATAAAATGATGTATTTCAACTTTCCCCCGTGGCATTTTCGTGTAAAAAAAAAAATGGTACAACAAATACCAATAGATGTGAACGTCCTTTGGCATTGCGAACAAAAGCCACGCCTCAATGACTTGTATTTTGTGGCATTTTTGCCGGCCCCAACAAATATTGCACTTCATCTACTTTGCAAGAATTATAGCACAAATTCAGCCCAAAAAAAAGGGAATTATAGCACAAAATTTAGGACCTTATTACTTAATTTGTTTAGCAAGTATCTTCTGCATGGTATGTCTTGATACTATGAACTTGTGTTAAATTATGCATAGATCACGACGTATCCAACCTTGACTAAAAGAAGTATTATATAGTTGTGCACATAATTGAATATAATTACATTGTATAAAAAAAGCACTTTGTTTGATTTCTTTTCTTTTTCTCCAAAAAAAAAAAAAATTACATCTTATACTCGGAATACTCGGAGACGTGTATAAACCAATAACAATAATAATAATAATAATAATAATAATAATAATAATCTCTT